ATTTTTTTTTTTTTTTTTTTTTTTTTTTTTTTTAAAAAAAACAGCAACTTACACCAACTGGCGGACATGCCTGCTCAGACGCTGCGAGCGCAAAGCTACCAAGAGCAGCGAGGACGACGATAAAGCTCTTCATTCTGGGGACATAAATCTTTCTTTCTGTGAACCCTTTTTCCTTTTTCAATTCACTCAGGCGTTGCCAAGTCTGTATTGTATATATCTCGGATAATAAACAATCATGGAAGGGAAAAAAAAAACAATTTCTTCTTTTTTCGTCTCGGTTCAAACTCTGTCCCCATGGCCCATTGCCCAAGAGCTGTCTCGTCCTATTTATAACCAGCAGCCAAAAAGCTTCCCCTCACGTGAAAGAAGGCAAAGAGAAGAAAGACAAGAACAGCTTAGCATGGTTTGTGTATCGCGTCAGCGGCAGCAAAGTCGCCCGAGGGGCGCGCCACCCCCCTCCCCGCCCCCTTTTTGCCTTTTGGTCTCAACAACTGGAATGCGGCGCGGGGCTAGAGACTCGAAAACTCCGCAGCGGTGAGGGTTATGCTCGTGACGCGTAATTCGACATGATTATCACTTCTTCTTTCTTCTTTCTTCTTCCTTCCTTGTTTTTTTTTTCTTTTTCCGGGTTTTTTGTTTTCCAAAACCCCTTGCGACAAGCCCCGTGACGAGGGGCTGCTTATGGCTTCGGAACAAGGCCACAAGGATTAGTTTTGTCTTGTTCTAGATTTTCGCAGGGAGAAGAATAAAGAGGGGGAAGGGGGAAGGGGTGGGGGTGAGCACAAAAGATGACTGCGTCGCTGCCAAGAGGGTAGGTAGGTACCTACCTACCTAGTAGCCGGGCGTCGTGATCGGCCATGGGCTGGATGAAGAATGTGACATGGCGCCGCTTGTCTTACGTTTATGTACTACTACTCCCTACATACAGTGCCTAGTATTATACTCAAAAGGTGTCTCATCTTGGCGATGCTGACTGGGAGGAAGCAGAAGAGTTTCGCGGCCATGGTTGGGATGGCTATAGTTTCACTCATGAGTCTCTTTGGCTCGAGAGGACCGTCAGATCACGCTCTGACCAAAAACAAAAAACAAAAACAGTAGAAACATCCCTTGTATTTAGAGAATGGCAACAACACAATACCACCATCACTCTCCCCCTCTCCCCCCACCAAAGGCCTTGGCCTCATCCCACGTCATGAAATTGATGAAGACCCATCGCAGAATCTCGCCCGCAACCTCGCCCCTGCACCGGAACGAGTCCCTCTCCGGGCTGACCTGCACGAGCAGCGCCCCCTCTTGCCCGTAGTGCCCGTCAATGACGGCAAACCGCGCCGGGTCCAGCGCATTCTCCTCGGCATACGACGGGTGCCCGCCCATGATCTGGTCGAGGCTGCGGCCGCCGGCGCGGACGGCGCTGTAATAGGCCGGCAGCTCGTCGGCGTCGCCCTCCTCGTCGGGCTCGCTGACGCCCACGTCCTGCAGGCCCCTGTTCATGGCCGAGAGGGCGTGTTGGAAGACGTCGTCGTCGTCGTCGTCGTCGTCCCCGTCCCGCTTGGAGACCGCCGGGACCGCGTCGTACAGCGCGAACCAGCGGACGGGCGTCGCCGCCGTCTTCTCCTCGGGCACGTCCTGCCGCAGCGTGTACCAGTCCTCGTTGGAGATGCTGAGCGAGCTGATGGTGTTGTTGGCGTCCCCGGGCGGGAGGCGCACGCCGTCGCTGAAGCCGTGGTACTCGTCGAGGCCGACGAGCAGGGCGCCTCGCTCCGCCAGGTCCGCCGAGTCAAAGACGAGGAAGAGCTTGGGGTGGGTGCCCGTCTCGTCGTGGTCGCTGTCGCGATGGCGCTGCAGCACGGCCTGCGTGCTCTGCCCCTCGAGCTGCTCGACGTGGAAGTTGTCGGCGTCGTCGTCGGCGGCGTCTTCATTGTCTCTGCAGAGCGCTTCGAGCACGGCCGAGGCCTCGAGGCCCGGCGCGGTGATGTACACTCTGAAGGCCGAGCCAGGGCCGTCCGAGGGGGGCATCGACTCTGAATCAGACATTATCTGAGCTCCAAAAAAAAAAAAAAAGGGTTACTATGATGGCGTGTAACAGCATCACGGGCTGTGAGGGGAGGTCGAAAGGATGAAAAGCATGCTCAGATCATCCCCTCCCTCCTCGCCGTGTTTGCCCCTCGACGCCTCGGTGTCGCACGAACCAACCTCGCGCCTACGCCGCTACGCACCCGTGACGTAGGGACCAACTTTTCACCAACCCTGCCTCGTCAGCTGACTGTGCCGTGCATGCCCGTGTGTGCTGGTTACCTACCTACCTAGTCGACAGTTGTGAAGTGTCCGAGCCTTGTTAATCTTGTCCCGGGCCGCAACTTGCGATAACAGAACAGGTGGGCCGAGAAAAAAAGAAGAAGAAAATGACGAGAAATAAAGAAAAGCAACAGCCCCGTGGCCCGGGCGTTGGGCTTCATCTGTCATCAAAATTGAACAGCAATGGTCTTCCAACAGCCACATGCCATTCCTCCATTCATGGAATCATCCGTAAATGCCGCACTGGAAGTTGTTCCCACAAAGCAACCGCAAAGTGGCGGCAGGATTCCAGGATTCCAGGATTCCAGCATCGACGTGGTGTCACAATCTACAATTGACAGGAGAGTCAGCCCTCGCAGCCAAGATTTATGCGTCACACAACATGACATATCTCATGGGCCAATGTCCTGGTCCGTTTTGACAAATCTCACGGCCAAGAAAGACTGCCTTCAAGCAAAGGCGTTCACATGCGAACCTTGGCTCCGTCAAGCCACCATCCGCTCATGTGCGTGATGTGAATATGCTCGGGTTTCCAGCCCCCTTGGCGCAAGACCTTTTGTAATGTCACAAATCATCAACAACAGGGAAGGAAAGGGGGGGGGGAGGATAACGGTAAGCTTGCAAAAAGTCTGCGTATATAAAGCCCCAAGACAGTCTGGCCATAAATCGTACTACAAAGGGATTCGCCAGTTCTTCAAGCCGCCTCAGAAGTGAGCGACAAGATCCCACCCGCAAAAAGAAAACATGGCATACAAAGCCCTCCTCTTCGCCGGCCTGGCATGGATGGCCACAGCCCCCCAGGTCACGGCCAGCCCTCCGGACGTCACTTTCCTCTGCAACCGCATGCCCGAGGTCTGCACAAACATGTGCTGGGCCGTACGATGCGCGAGCCCCAGGTTTCCCCAGACGCTCAACTGGGACAACCCGAGCGAGGCGACCAAGGCGGAGCGCCGCAAGTCGGCCGGCTGCCAAAAGGGCAACAAGTGCAACAAGGGCAAGAAGGGCCCCGGCCATCGCGGCGGCAAGTACATCTCCTGCGACGAGTACCCCTTCGCCACCACCAGCAACAGCAAATTCCCCAACGGCCACCAGGTATCCCGCTGCGTTCCCCGCGTCGAGAACTCCAGCCAAGGAAAGGCCCTCCAGACCGTCTACGGCCGGTTCAAGAAGAAAGGCTACAAGAGCCACAGCCTGCAGATCGCCTTTGGCAACCCCGGGGCCCGCGGCGTCAAGTACTGCAGCAACCAGAGGTGCAAGAACGACGGCTTCCAGGTGCAGGACGGCAAGATCAAGAAGCGCGAAGAGGATCCTCTCTTCAGATTCTACAAGACCAGCTCTGGCATGACTCTGGCGTCGCTGACCAAGATTGACACCCCGTCCAACTTTACCCGTGAGGTGGACGAGCAGGAGCTGGGGCAGGTAGCCGCTCGCCTCCTCCAAGCTTGGAAGGAGCCCGTGGATGGTGAAGATGTGCACGTCATGTCGGACGTTGTGTTGGAGGAGATGCCTTTTGAGGAAGCCATGAAGTCCTTTGACCAGGAGGGAGTAGATGACGCGTAGGTAGTGCTTGCTCAAAGTCTTTGGAATACAAGTGTATGTAGTGCAGGTTGCAGGTTGCAGGTTGTCATGTGTTAGAATGTTAGAAATGTGTCTTTTTTTCCAAGAGAAAACGAGGTGCCATGCTTTCCAAGGGTTGGGAAGCTCGGCATCTGAACAGACCTCGAGGAATTCAACACTGGGCTGCGTTGGTGCATCAATCGGCCGAGCAGTCGAAGATGCGGCCTCGTAGATGTAAATGACACTGATCAACCACTACTTTACGCAACTGGCCGGGAACGTTCCATGTTCAGCAATGTTGTTCAGTAGCCCACGTGAAAAGCAGTGAGTTGCGAGGTGTGAAGGAGGACGGCGCGGCCAAACGACGAGCTGCTGCCCTGTTGTTCACAGAAGCGAGCCACACAAGACGCGGCTGGTAAATAAAAAAAAAAGAATAAAAGAAAATCGGTTCTTTTATTTAGGGAAAAGAAGATCACAGGCAACCGTCCGTCGTGGGGAGCAGCCAGTTGAAAAACGTTTGAAGGACCTGATAAGGCCTGATAAAAGGCCACGAAAATGTGTGACGTAGTTCCCGTAGCGGAGTGGTTACCGCGTGACTCTTATACGCTAAGGATTCCTTTGGTTGTATGGTAGAAATGTCAAGGTCCGGGGTTCGACCCCCCGCGGGAACATTTTGTTTTTGTGTGTGTTTTGAAACCAAACCCCCATTCCATCTGCCCACTCTTTCAACTCCCGCATTTCGTTTTTTTTTTTCTTGCCCCGCACCTTCTTCTCAGACTATCTCAAGCGCCTCTCGCGCTTATAATAACTCACGCTTAGCTGCTGTCAAGTGTTCGTAACCCACCGAGTTGAGTAAATAGAAACGACGCCGGGAGAAGGGAACGGGGTGTTGTATATTCTGCCGTCTCGGCATGGGGATGAGCCATCCTTCTGCCAGCTGAATCCGCGTTTCCTACAACTGCGTTACATCCGCGCGGGAACACACACACGAACACAGAAGGGAGAAAAAAAAAAAAAAAAAAAAAAAAAAAAAAAAGGCCCAAGGTGATGTCGGCCGAAGAGAATAGAAGAGTGACAGAATCACCCACCACACCTTCCTTCCTTCACTCGCTTCACTCGCTTCACTCGCCTCACCCGTCAGACTAGCCATTATGGGCAGTGAGCGAGCGTTCTGTTCCCGAACACACACAACACAGACAGAAGAGACAGAGAGAGAGAGTGTGTGTGTGTTGTGTCTGTGTGAGCGTGTGTGTTTGCATATTGTGTGTGTGGTGCACATCTTCGGTCGCCTCGCCTCGCCTCGATTTGATTCATAATAATCTCAGCAGGCTAGAAGATAGCGTCGTGTGCTTTCACCCCCCCCGCAGGTGTGAAATCAATCAATGAAAAAAAAAAAAAAAAATGAACAAACGCATGGCGAAGCGGGGGAGGGTTCTTTCCCGAATACCTACCTATATAATTCATACTTGTCTCACTTTGAATAACCCCCCTCCATTGCCTAAAAGACTGATCAGCAGTTCACAACAACAACAACAACAACAACAACAACAACAACAACAACAACACGCAAGAGGAAATATCTTCCCTCTGGGTCCTTTTTTTTTTTTTAACCCCCAGGAAAAATAAAATAAAACAGTGTTAATCACACCCACCCCTCCCTTTTTCCCCCTCCATAAATTCCCCCCCTCTCAGAAGAAGGATAAGCCTATCTTCT